ACGTTGAAGCTGAGGTCCTGGGGATTTCCCACGGGGGGCAAGTTTTGGATGATGTGTTGGAGGCCATCAACAAAAGCCTAAATATTGAGATCGACCTGGAAAAGCGATCTGCCAACAAAGCCTGGCGTGAGTGGGTCCATATTGGAATGCAAGGAAATGGAGGGTGGGCTCACCGTTGGACTAGGATGCTAGATGCGCGGGGCCCCAAGGGGGTCCCCTGGAAAGGCACTTGGACTGGGAGACCTTCACGCGTCCTGGAGCACGAGGCTGAGAGACTCGAAGGTCTTTGGGACACGTCTTACCACAGGCCCCACTACCATGTCCCCGCTGGCCCCCATGAGCCCAGTTTGCCACCCATCGAGCCCCAGGTCTCATCGACGCCGCCAAACGTTTCTCGCATACGACTGCTTCGACATGGGATGGATTCCACCCGAAGCATTTTCAGAGTTTGAACCTGGAGCAGGCTGCGCACGTCTGCCGATTTTCACACATGGTTGAGAAGATAGGTGCTATGCCCACCCAGCTGCAGGCTGTTGTCTCGGTTTTGATCCCCAAGACCAAAGCGAAGCCAGAGGCCAAGACCGTGGCCCAGTTCCGAGGAATAGGTATGATGCCAGGGCTTTACCGAATTTGGTCCAAGGCCCGACAAATTGAAGCAACAAAATGGGAGGCCAAGCGCCGCCGACCTTTCTTGGCCCACCAGGCGGGCAAGGGCAAGAGCATCACCGAAACAGTCTTTCGCCAGAGCCTCAAGGCTGAGAATGGAGCGACCTGCCAAGATCCACTCCATTCAGGCGCGGTGTTGTGGGACCTCAGCAACTACTATGAGCACATCAGCCACCAGAAGCTGATTGAGATGGCCACGGCACCGGCTTTAGCAGCGTCCTGCTGAAGGTGATTTTAAGCCAGTATTGTAGCACGAGACTGGTGGCTATCAGAGACTTGGTACAGCTGGTGGACCACCCCACCCGCGGTATTGCAGCTGGATGTGCCTGGGCCATTTTTTGGTACAAGTTTGCAGTTTGAGACCCCTGGACACCTGGGCTGAAGCATACTCCAAGGGCACGGACCTCCAGATGTTCATCGATGATCTGTTCCTGGGACAGCAGCACAGAGACCCCCAGGCCCTAGTACGACAATTGCAGCACTCAGCGGCTAGGCTTGCAGTACTGGTGACCGAAGAGCTCGAGTGCAAGCTGGCGCTGCACAAAGCTCAGGTGATTGCTTCTACCGCCAGACTGCGAAAGCAAATTAGGAGGGCCCTTGGGAAGTATGCGGGACCCCAAGACGCCCACAGTGCCACCAATCTTGGGATCGACAGAGCTGCGGGGGCTTCGAGGTACCGAGTTCGACGACGGGTGGCGAAAGCGACCCGATGCAAGCGTTTTGTTTATCACAAACGACGGCGACACCGAATGCGAGCGGTCAAGATAGCTGGGGGATTAACCAGAAAGCTATGGAAGACGGGGCTCCAGCAAGCCCTTACCTATGGCACTGAGGTTGTAGGCATGGACCCCCTGGAGCTTCAGAACCTCCAGACGGAATATTTGAAAGTAGCGGGGCCCCGATGCGCAACGAGAAGCAGATCCCTAAGCCTGGCGGTGCCAGGAGATCCTGCTTGGCGAGCAGGGCTAGGTCCAGCCTTGACCTGGTCGACCATGATCTGGCGCGCAGCGACGAGACCCAGCCACTCCCGAGAACTACTTGAACTGAAAAACCTAGCCGAGCCAATTTTTCAAAATGAGCCTAGTAAGTGGACGGCCGAGAGAGGCCCCTTTGGGGCCGCCTGTCTGTCCCTGCGACGGATAGGTTGGAATTTTGTTTCTGTTTTGGAGGTGCAGGATGCGAATGGGTGCAGGTACCCACTCACAACATGCACTCCCAGAATGATAGCCCAGAGAATGCAAGAGGCCTGGGGACAGGCCATCCTCAGGAAGGCTGCCAGGAAGCTAGGTTACCCCCAGGAGACCCTCGACGCCAGTATCGCCCGAAAAATGTTGGCTGGAAAGACGCTGCCAAAGAAAGCCAGATCTACCCTTCTTAACTTTCTCACCCAGAGTATATGGACCAACGCGAGGCTGCAACGAACTGGGTACGACTCTGACGGGAAATGTCAGTGCGGGCACCAGTGCGACGACTTGCGCCACCGACTTTTACAGTGCTCGCTCAGTGCCCAGCTCCGTGACGCGTTCACAGCAGATGAGCTAGACACGATTTCGAGGGTAACGGATCAGGCTGTAGCGTACGGGTTCCAGTTCCAACCTGAATTTGAAACAGGGGCTCCTGATGGGTTTGGCTATGAATATGCCGAGTTTTGGTGTCGAGACCCCAATATGCAGCCCCACGAGGCCCTTGCTGGTGAAGTTTTTTACCGACGGTTCCTGTTTAAAACTTGGAGGGCGCAAAAATTATAACGCTGCTGGTTGGTCAGTGGTGGCCATCGATGGCCACGGAGAAGTTTTTGCCTACCTCATTGGGCGAGTGGGCAAATACCTCCCCT